ATTTTGTTTGGCCTCGTACTATGATAGGGAGAAATTTTCTTTAAATGCTGAAACATAATAATGTTTACTTCCAACAAAATCTTTAACTTAATAAAAAAATGATTATAAATAACATAGAAAAGCACTATCAAATGAGTTTTCAACTGAATGAATCTACAAAGCATAGATTTATTTTAGGTGAACATGATTGTTTTTACTTGTTTGTGTGTAAACAGTTTAACTGTTTAACATTGTTTAACTTTGAGCACTCTTTGTTTTATTAAATTAATTTTTTTAACTTTGTCTAATATATACTTTAAGATATAAATTAAGAATATAATAAATATATATTTTTATAATTAATATATACAAAAAATGACAAAATTTACTTTTTATTTTAATCTTATTTACATAAATAATTTTAATTAATTAATTAATTTTAAGTCAATTTTTTATTATTTTCTATATAAATTAATCATAAAAATATATTTATTATAACTTTAACCTATATCCCAATAGTATAAAATAAATAAACTGTTGTTTTAATTAACGGAGTAGGTAACAACTTAACTAATTAAATTGAGCTTAAAAGATAACATATATATTTTAGGATTTTTCTAACTTGTGTCCTTAGAACATAAGTTAAGAATTTAATTAATACAGTTTTTAATCATTAATTTATATAAAAAAATAATATTAATTCTAACATCAATGTCATGTATCTTAATTTAATTGATTAGTTATTAAAATTTATATTTTTTATATACTTTATAATAAAAAAATATTAATTATTTATTTAATTTGCACTTTAAAAATAAAAAATAGAAAAACCTTACATTTTATTATCATTATATATTGAGTGATGTTATTATTATACCCTCAATTACTAATATCATATTTGTTTATGTTAACTGATTATTATATCATTTAATTTATTAAAAAACAAAAAATATAAAATTTTTTTAAAATTATAATCTAAAAATATAATAAATAATTATATTAAAAAAATATAACACCAACTATTTAGGATATAATTATTTACCCAGCAAAACTTTCCACCAACAATTGCTAGAATTGGGTAGGGACAAAGCATGTGAAGGCTTGGGCAAGGGTGGGGGCGTGATTATTATTATCATTTTGTCTTGACACAAATAAGAAACAATAATGTCGTTCATTAATTGAGTACAAAATCTCCCCGCATGTCTCTGCTTCAATAATTGTAGTACTGCAAACCAGCATTCTGGTATGACAGTCACCGCTTCTTTAATAAGTGTGATAATATTTAAAAATTTATTTCTCTTGTGATATTTAATTTTAAGGTTACATTCCTCCTATCAATCTTATGCATTTAAAGAAATTATAATACATTTTTGAATATATATACATATATAAAATAAGTAAAATAGATTTAGTATTATTATTTTTAATTATTAGTCGGCAGATATGGACAACACAGAGTACAGTCCATCTTGGCACTTATGTAAACTTGGCAAACTTTGCAAAACCCACGTAATTATAAAGAGCAAGAATCCATTGGACAGGTATCTGGAAAGTTGTTTTGAAAGGTTGAGTGCATCGAGGCTGTGCATGTTCATGCATGCTAACAAACTCTACCACCCGTGACAAGTCCATCCTGTTTCTCAACAAACTTCAGGAGGTTTTTAAATTAATGTTTTTAATAAATAAACATATATATATTTTTATATCAGATAATTAATTGTTTGGTAATATAAAAATTTTAAATTTAAATTAAAATTTTAAATTAATAAATATTAATTTAACTAAATTTTTTATTTGAGCAAGTAAATGTCTGTTTCGAGTTTAAACTGAAATTTTTTTGTTAGTTTAGGTAAGATTTGAAAACATTGCGATTAAGGTTCGTTGTCTGCTTGTTGGATCATGGCAATAAAATTAAAATTAGAGTTAATTGTGTAGGTAAAGCCCATTGATTGTACATATTAATTTTGTCACTTACAAAGAAGATGATATTTAATTTCAACCAAACAGCTAACAATCTAAATAGTTCAATGGTCGTCTCCTTTCACTGAAAGTAAAAGATCCTAAGTTCGAATTGTATAACATGTAAGTCATGTGGCATAAAAAATGAAAGATAATTATTTCTTATTGTGCAATCAAAATAAAAAAAAAATTCAACCAAACCAGTTGTTACTTAATTGGTTTATTTAAATCAATTGTTCGATTAAACCAAATTTGGGCCGGCCTCTAAAATTATCAGAACATGCTTATCTGAAGAAACCATGACAAAGTAGTTATTCTGAGCAATTGAGTAACCAAGACAATTGCAACCAGATTTTAGTTAAATTGGATTCACTAGCTATAAAATTTTATTTAGTTTTAAGGTCCACATAGAAACCTTTATAATATCAAAAAACTAACTTTTTGATATACTAAAAAAAGCCTTCTTTTATTCAAAAGATTAAAAAAATGAAGGAAACTAATAGAAGATGAGAAATTATTCTGTGTTTAGGCCTACTTTCACTGCTTGTAGTTAACATTGGTCCTGCTTAAAAAACCTTAGCTGCTTCCTCTCTCTCTGTCACCCTTGTCCCTTCCCTCCTCTCTAGCTGTTGCCTCTCTCCCCTTCGACAATTCAATTAGGGAGGATGAGTAAAAATGAAATTGTCTCCCTTTATTTGAGAGTTTTCTCTCTAAAATATTTTTATCACATTTTTTTAAAAGTTTTTACGTAAACTTTCTTGGTGTATCTCATTGAATTTTACCTATAAATTTAATTTGATTTTAGCACTTTCTTCCGTTGTCAATGATATGATTAGAGATTAGATGGTAAGATAGGTGTGGTTATTAGAGGTGATAGGAAAGCTCTAGGGCCTGTATGGTTTGTAATTTCCTTGGAAAAAGAATCCAGGGCAGCTGCACAACAAAACAGCTTGGGTTGGCTCAAGAAATTAAATTTCCTGGCACAAAAATTAAGATGCAATATAATCCATTGTAATTGATTATATGATCTTCACCAAACCTTACCTGATTTAAGCATTGAAGGGTGTATGCTAGCGACACCTCTAGCACCTACCCTAAGAAGTTCTTTCTTTTTCTCACACACGGGTAACACAAGTGCTTGGAACCTCATCCAACTATTCTAGGCAGCAAAATCAAGAATATCACCTACAATGATAATTTATTATTAATTAATGTGATATATTATTAAATAAATAGATATATATAATATTATAGGTAAATTTTTAAATAAAAATAATCAATTATAAAATACCATATTATGTTATAGGTTTACAATTTTATGAGATATTATAATTATATTATTTTCAATTATAATAACATAACAGTGTATAAAAGCAAATAAAAGGCAAGTGGAGGATCAAACTACAAATTAAAGTGTCTTCATCTCAATTCCCTTGTCATTTTTCTGATGCTGACATTGATTTCAAGCGTGTCGTTTTTAAAAAAATGTTCCATTTTACAATATATTATCAGAATCAAGAAAAATCTGATGGCCATAAAAAAAAAAAGAAAAAAACGAACTTAGCGTAGTAGCCAAATTAAATAAAGTGGAGTTTCATTTTTCCAATGTTGTCACTGGACCATCTAAATTCATTTTATAGGTCCGTTCCGTTTAGGAGTGTTAATAGTTAAGATATATATATATATAGGATCAATTTATGTACAATAAAATAATATTTATTTTTTAATAGATCTAACTCTTAAGTTTATATACATTATTATTATTATTATTATTATTATTATTATTATTATTATT